GTATAGCTCATGGCTTCACTGAGTTACGCAAGCCCCTTCGCCACGACAAGGCAGTGATCCATGAAGGGGAAGATGCAGATACAGTGTATATTTGCAAGCTCCATTTCCTTATTCAGTTTTTCAACTGAGCAGTAGTGTGATTTTTGTGTGTTTGTATAGTTTTTCACAGATAGCTATTATTATATATCACATATCATTCCATTCATTTGACATGTAGCTTCTAGTCTACAGTACCAAAACTTATTCAAAATTGTGTTAGGTTTTTTAATCTGGCTAACCAATGAAAAAGAACAACTATGAAAGATAGAAGAAGACATTGGAAAAATACAAAGGAAGGGGAAAGTAGGAAGTACAATATTCTTATGGAGGTAGGCCAGATATATTGAATAGATAGGGACTTACTTCCTTTTATGAAAACAGCTGAACCAGGGAAGAAAGGGTATTAGAGCAGGCCTTTTATTTATTTATTTTTTCTCCTTCCCAATAGTGCTTTTCTGTTGTTTTTTAGAACTACAGGTACTCCTCACTTAACAACTGTTCAAAGTTATGATGGTGCTGAACAAATGGTGCTTAATGCCTGGTCCTCAAAGTTACGCCTGTGGCAGCACCCCGCAGTCACATGATCAAAATTTGGGCACTTGGCAGCCTGCCCGCATTTATGACCACAGAGTGTGTTTCAGCTTTCCCCCACCTGCCTGTCTCTCCTCATCTCTACCTTTTCAGCCACCCTGCACCCCACCACACTGCTCTGCTGCCCCCAACTGACCTTTGCTGTCTTCTTCCTCCCGCTACTAACAAGGCACACCCGGCCTGGCCCTTCACGAGGTAGCTGCTGGTCACACACGACCTTCCTGAGGCCTCATGAAGCCTTTTGAAGCATTGCAAGAAGGCCGTGTGCGGCCTCAGGAGCAAGGCGTCATGCAGCCATCAGCTGCCTCACAAAGGCTGCTTCACAAAGGGCTAGGCTGGGTGCCCCTCATCAGCAGCAGGAGGAAGAAACGGCAAAGGTCAGTTGGGGGGCAGCAGGAGCAGCGGAGTGCAGGGCAGCTTGCACATCCTCTCGCCTCCAGCAGCAGCCACCCTGGACCTGATTGCGCTGCAGTGCAGCAGCCTGTTACCCGCCCGTTGACTTGCTTGTGAGCTGCCCGGGACTCGTGACTCCTGCCAGCTTCCCCATTGACTTTGCTTGTTGGAAGCCATCAGGAAGTCACAAGGAGGTTCTCGCTTAACAACCACGATGATAGCTTAATGATGGAAACAGGGACTGCCAGGATTGCTGTTGCTAAGTGATGCAGTCACGTGACGTCAGCTTTACGACTGCATTGCTTAGCGATGGAAATTCCAGTCCCAGTTACCATTGTTAACCAAGGACTACCTGTATATTTTTTCTACCAGATTAGCATGGTGCATAACCCAAATAGCTAAATGTACTTGGCCAGCTATGCATTATACTCTAACCTGGCACTGACAGGTAGATTCTAGATTTTCGTTTTTTGTTTTTTTCATTCTCAGATGAGCAGTATTGTAACTAGAATATATCCAGTAGTCACTGGTCAAAAATTTTGCAGGCCTGTTTTATCCTAAACAGAAGTTGGTCCAGGAGAATTATAATATTGGGTTTGTACATTTTGCCTTTTGGGAAGCTGTCTTATATAGAATGGGAGTCTTTCCAGCACTGGAATGTCCCTTTGGTCTGCTCTGTATCTGAATGTATTGAGTCCTGCTTTACAGTCATACTGCCTTTCAACTGTTGGCCTATGGATTGGTTTCTGTATCATAATCTTGGTTATGTTGTGAGTTAATAAGCCAGAAATCCTGCTATGTAGGTTGGGTTCACACATTGTATTAAATGTGTTTTGTGTTGTTTTGGCTTAGCGTGTGTGAAACCAATCGTAATTTATTTCATTAAACCTTAGTTAAGCAAACCATGGCAGTGTGTTACATAAACCTAGTCTGCTCTATAAATTTGTTACCCATGTCTCTTACTACTCTTAGTAGAAAGATGTCAGAAAGAAATCTGAAATGTGATATTTTGCGATTATAGGACCAGACAGAGCTGATTTGGAATATCAAAGATGAGTTAAAGAGAGCCTGTTCTACCAATGACTTGAAAAAGCTCCTGATAGCCAACAATCAAGAAGTTCCTTCTGGGGAAGCTGCTGTGAGTTGAGCTCCATTTTATTTGAAATTTTGTGTGGAGGTGAAGAGAAAGAAAGAAGAAAAAGATTTTATATCTATTTATATATCTGAGGCAATTACACACAGTCACTTGCTTTTTCTGAATATTAATGCTCGTGCAAATTTAGTTGAAGTGAGATGAATGTCAGCATCCCCCCAGAGATCCATATGGATCTCATTTTGACCTCACTCAAAAGAGGTTTAAGGACATTATTTTTGCTTTAGGCCTTGGGCAAGGATGGGTAGCAAGCCTCTTATAGGACTATGTTATAGCCGCTATAGTCTCTTTTGAACATGCATCATTCTTATCTCTCTGTTTTAGCACCCAGAGTTTTTATGGAGTGGGATGGCCTTATATACATTTCATTAATAAAGTAAAGGTACCCAGAGAAACATGATTGGGGCCTGTAGATACAGGTAGTCCTTGTTTAACATTCACTTGTTCAGTGACTGTTCGAAGTTACAGTGGCGCTGAATGAGGGGGACTTATGGAGAGTCCTTGTAGTTGCAGCCGTCGTAACATCCCCACAGTCACGTGATTGCCATTTACAACCTTCACTGCTAGCTTCTGACAAGCCAAGTCAATGGGAAAGTTGGCAGAAGGTTGAAAATGGCAATCATGTGACCGTGGGACACTGCGACCCTGTGGGATTCATCTAACAGTGGCATCTAGGACTGCTAGAAATGCTGTCATTAAGTTGGCACGGTCACATAACATTGCGCCTTATGACCACGTCACTTAGCAACTGAGTTCCTAGTCCCAATTACTGTTGGTAAGCGAGGACTGCCTGTAATGAAATTTAACTTTCTAGGGTGGATAGAATGGTATTGATAAATTGGTATGAAATTAGGAAGGAAAGGTGGCATTGGATCAAAAGGCAGTCTGTTGCCAGTAAGTGTATCTAAGACAATTGTGAAAAAATCCCGGCACCAGAAATATAATAGAATTAAGGAGTCAGAAGGGGCTATTAAACAGTGAGCTCAATACATCTGCTACGTTCTTAGAATACAAAGGTCCTGCTACAACTGAGAACACTGCTCCATTTCATCATGTAATAGTTCTTCTGATGACAGGCAGATTGGGGGTAGCCTTATAATTCTAACTCATATAGCGTTATAGCATTACAGCATTACAGACTGCTGTAATCTGAAGCACAGGTTCTGTTCTTCATAGACAACAGATGTTTCTCCTATAAGAAGTGCCATGCTGAATTAAACCACGGCCAATTTAATCCAGATTCTGCTCCTGCACTAGTTACTTGGATGCCTGTCAGAAACACACAAGCAGTACATTGTGCAGTAGTACTCTCGCCCTCATGTTTTCCAGCAAACAGTACTGAGAGGCATACAGCCTTCAATACTGGGAGGAAAACATGGCCATCCAAATGCATAGCTATTGATGCCATTCTCCATTAATAGATGTAATTCCTTCATAAAGCTGTCCAAGTGAGTGATCCTCTGTAGTTCTTGTGGTTCAGAGTTTTGTTGTTAGTTATGCATGTGTGAACTTTTCTTTGCCATGAATATCTCACCATTTGGCTTAATTTGAGTGACTCTGGGATCTAGTATTATGAAAGAGGGAGGAAACCAGTCATAACCTTTCCTTACAGGGCAATTATTTCAGCAGCCCCTTTATCATTTTTGTTACCCTTTACTGCACTATAAAATAACTGCACCAATTTTCCAATAACCTTTTTACCATGGGGTAGCCAGAATTACACAACTTATTCCAAGTGTGTCTCTTCATAGATATATTGACTGTTTTATATTTGGTTCTTAAGAATCCTCAGCATGAAATGTGCATCTTTCACAGGGATTCTTTTATACCTATGTGCTAGAGATTACAGTGCTTGTAATACAATACATGCAGAAGCCACCAAAGTGAGTAGGCTGCTTTACTTCCATATATCCTAACTCTAAAAGATAGGCTTGTAGGTCATCTTGCTAAAACAAGCTTGGAGAAACTCCAGTTTGTCATCTAAATGGGCCTCCCAGGTTTCTTCATCCAGCTTCTGGGCTGTCCTTACTAGCAGAAGGGAAAAGGAGAGCAATGCTGGCTCAACAAGAAGTGGGTGACAGACAGGTGAGGCCACTCCTGGGGACTGTTCTTAAGTCATTGCTGGCTTTCTGGCCACTGCATCATGTCAGTGAGTAGACTCTGGGCGAAGAGGTGAGAGCTCTGTCTGAAATTTGTTTGATATCCTGTACTCAGAATAAGGCCTCTGTAGCACTGGACGTTACTCGTTTACTGTACTCGTGTTGCTTTTTTCATTGCTTCAGACCTTGGATCATGTAGCAGATGGGATGGCTTTTGGGGCTCTACTTCCCTGTGAAGAGTGCAAAGGGCAGTTTGTGTTCAAGAGCAATGCCTATTACTGCACAGGGAATATCACAGCTTGGACTAAATGTGTTGCCAAGACACAGACTCCCAACAGGAAAGAATGGACCATCCCAAAGGTAGGTTGTGAGGCCTGCTATAACCCCCTTTCAGTTACCACATTGGGCAACATTGTTTGTGCAAGTGTATCAGAGAGAAGGCACATTCTTAGAAATTCCACCCTTCTACTGCCTATTTCTTTTCATCTGTTTCTCGCTCTACCAAAGTCCTTCTGCCAACATTCTCAGACACACCCTCCCCCTCTTCTCAGCCCTTTTTCCTTTTTATCCTTTCCTAAAAAGAAGTTGGATTTGAATCTGGAGAAATTAGGCTGCCCCTTCTCTTTCTCCAGCTCCTACCTCCAACTGCAGCAGGAAAGGGGAGCCCAAGAAGTGAAGGCAGCTTTTGCACATCCATCAAACCATCACCCAAGGTTGCTTTCCATTGTTGACAGAGGAAGTGGCTTGCCAAGCCTGAGCCTGATGCAATGAACCTAGTTTTGCTCAAGTTGAATGAACAAATGAAATGATTTTGCCTCTGATCCCTTGCGAAGAAGCTGTTGGTTCAAGAGGATTGCTGGGGGATAAAGTCATACAGTAAGACTGCTGGAGGCTTGTCACTGTGCTCTCCAAATGAAGGGTACCATGCACTACTGCTTAGTTGGTTTACAGGCCTTACTTAGTTTGTGACTAATACCCTGAGATCTGTCAGTTGGTATCAGTGTAATAGATGTATGCTTCATAGTGAAAGATTTGAGCCAAATATTGGTAATACCTATTGAAGCAGCAGCTTTCCCAAAATCAGTGACCTTCAGATGTATTGGACTACAGCTTTTGTCATTCCTAGCACCTATCTTACAACCCTGATAGCATCCCCAGATTGCTTCATGATTTGGGGCATGATTTTTTTCTGTTGCCCTCCTTCCCCAAAATAAAAGCCAAAATGCATCCCTCAAGCTATGGAAGTAAAGTACTGTTTTAACATTGCTGCTATTCACTTTGCTGCCCTTGAAGTGCCTTCTGTCTTCTTTGAAAGTACAGTCCATAACTGGTGAAAAGTTGCCTGCACTCAGTTTAGAGATCCTCCAACCAGAGGTATGCGCAAAATAGTGAGATGGAGAAGCAGAATCATAATATATGATGGGAGGACCTAGTTACGTGTGGCCCCCTTGCACTTATATGAAATAGATGTAGCTGGGGCTACTGGGAATTTTCATTCAGGATGGCTGCAGCCCAAATGTTCTCCATCCCATATATAAAAGAATAAAACTACAACTGATCAGAGACAGCCATTTGATACAACAATATAGCTTCAGGATATTGGAACCAAGGGGCAAACTAGGCGACGGATAGAGTTTGGATCATCTCACCCCACTTACATTTTTATTGCTTTAATTGCAGCAGACTGGTGTGATCTGATCAGGATTACTGCATGGGGGGTGGGGGAGGCAACTAATTCTCCCCAGCTGCCTTTTAAGAAAAATTCACACACACTTTGAGTCTGCAGGATCATTTTTAAGCTGATTCGGTACTACCCTCCATTGCTATAGACATAAAGGTAATGTTTTCTAGAAAAGGGGATGGGGGTCCTTCCCTCCAGTCATTTGTGATTTGCAGTGGTCTCAATCTAGTTTGTTCCTGAGAGAGAGATGTTTAGTAGAAGGTGAGCCATTGCAGGTTTATTGTTGCTTTTTTTCTTTTAGAGTTTTATTTGAAATGCTAAATTATGAGGAATTTTGAAATTATCCAGAGATTAGTAAATTGCTATCTATGGTTTGCCCACTCTGATGTGAAGAAAGTTTGTGAATAGTACATTTATCTGAATCTACTTGTCTACTTTTTTTCATTGCATTAGTTTGTGGGAGTTCTTTTTCTTATAACTGTTGTTTCTTTCCTTATCCTTCTGCACAACAGGCATTCCGGGAGATCCCTTACCTAAAGAAATTCAAATTTAAAAAGCAAGATAGAGCATTCTTGCCAGAGGCTGCTTCTACAAACTCAGTACCTCCTTTAGCTGTTTCTGATCCTGTTACAGAGAATTCAGCTGCACCAGCAGGTAAATTGTCTGGAGGCCATTGTGGGAAACCAATTTGATTAAGAAAGCACAATTTGTTAATTTTCATTAAAATGTTGCTATTCCCACAGTAAAAATCTTCCTTTGTCTACCCACTGAAAAATGCTATTTACCACTAGAATGAATAATTAAATCATAATTTGATTTCCTTTATCCTCCCAAAACAAACTGCCCTGTGATTCATACTGTACTATACTATAGTATACTATACTATTCTATACTATACAGATAGTCCTCAAGTTATGATGGCACTTGGGACCAGGATTGCCATTGCTAAGCGATGCGGTCGTAAAGCACGACATCAAGTGACTGCATTGCTTAGCGACGCCAAACCATGCAGTCCTGATTGTTGCAGTCCTGGTTGTTGTCATAACCTCAAGACACGCGGGTTGTTAAGCGGGAAGTGGATAGAGTCCCAGGTAAGGAGTGAGGGGGAATACAGGGTGGTGGGGGAGGCCCGGTGCAAACCACGTGTGAGTTGGGGGGGTGCTGCAATGTGGCGTGAGCACAGAGAGGCTGGAGAAAGAGGCGCAGGGTACGTGTGTGCAAGCACAGAAAGGCCCAAAGAAGGAGAGCCTTCAACCACAATTGGGACTGGAATTTCCATGACTAAGCAATGCGGTCATAAAGCGAGAGGTGATGTGACTGCATCATTTAGTGACTGCAATCAACCACAGTCCCAGTTGCCATCATTAACCAAGAATCGCAGGTTGTTAACCCCGCCCCAATCCAAGCCATTCTAGACTTGGTCCCTCCCAGCACCAAGCTTCAGTAAGGTAAGGGACTGCCTCCAACTCCCCCCACCTGTTTATCTCCACCCCCATCTCTGCCCTTCTAGCCACTCTGCACCCTGCCTTGCGGGGCAGTAAGCAGCTCCAGAACCACATGGCTCTGTGGCTGCTTGTCACGCCCCAGAAAGTCGCAGCCACCCCACCCCAGTCCCAGCCACAGTCGCCCTCATCACCCTGCACTCCAAGACCCCTGCGGCCCTGTGCTCCACAGCTGCAGCTGACCTTTGCTGTCTTGGAAAAAGCTCCTGGAGCACGGTGTGCCAAAACACCCCTTTGCATGAAACTCCATGGCGGGGTGGGGCTGGGCTGGGCTTT